TTACAAGCAGCTAGAGGTTCTTGGGACCCAGGTACTTCCGCGAGGCTCTCGGGGTCGCCAAAGTGCGACTGGCCCGGCTGCGCATCTCTGCTTCTCATCTCGCTTCTTGGGACGCAAGGATGGGGCTCAACAAAGTATTGTATAGCCTGTGCAAGCACAGGAGCGGATACTGGCTCTTCACTTGCGATGCCTTTCGCCACACCTTCCCTATCCCAAAGACACGGGAGCCAATTCAGGACGTACGCTGCGTCTTCTTCTCCGATGAGCCGGCCGCTCTGCTGAGGGCAGTAGAATGGCGTCCAGAAGCTCCATGAGAATCTCATAAAGCTTTGCTCGCACGGGAGGGTGCACCTTGTGTCAGGAGCGCCTCAAATCTGGCTGGGCAGCAGAGGTCTGTCCCGATCACCACATTTTCGAGGACAAGGGGGACGGGCACCCATAACAGGAACATCAACTGTGGTGCCATGCAGTTCTCGTAGTAGTAGGGGCATGAACACGAGTGGCGAGCTATGAAGCGGGCAATGATGTACGTCTTGGAAGAGAATGCGTCCAGCATGATTGCGCATTTGTTTGCTTGCGTTCCTGAATCTTTGACATGGCAATCGGCCTCAGTTTGTAGCCACTTGAAAAACGAGTGTACCCAAGGCTTGAGACCGATTTCGACCTGAGAAAGTCGACCAGTTTCTCCACACATGTCCAACGTTACTTGTGGTAGGCAGCCAGCGAGTAGTGGCAGTGCGTCGCACCAACTGTGGCCTTTGCCAACTTAGGTGTCATCATCACCACCGCAAAATTTCACACTTTGAGCATTCCTACTTCCCAGCCTCGTCACGGCAATGCGTACTGCGTATCGGAGCAGCCTTTTCAGCCATCATGAGAGTCTTAGAAAGGATTTTTGTCAATCGCGGGAATTGGAATAATGAGTTGAACAGCTCTAGTGCTGCTAGTACGGATTGTCGTATAGAAGGAGACACTCCGAGACGATCTGGCACTTGCCGTTCTCGCCGTCTGCTGCTCTGGGTGCCTCCGGGTGCAGAAGATTTCTGTTGGGATTCAGGGGGCGAGGCTCAAGGGATTTATAGATTTAGAGGGTTGCAAGGTTTCAAGTCTCAGACTAGTTCAGGCTCGCGGAGGAAACGGGCAATACGGAGGCAGTATAATACAGCACAGGCAGTTGTGACCTCTCGAGGCGTTGGGGGAAGACGATTTGAGGGCTGGTCAGGTGATGGAGTTTAGGTCTGTCTGTCTTTAAAAGCTGTATTCAATCGTGAGCAACTCAAAGATACTTGCAACAAATCATGACATGGGGTCTTTGTTAGTGCTTCATGAGCAACAGGGCCTTCACTGTAGGTGGAATCTTGCTGATCGAGAAAAGATGGGCCAAGCGTCCTGCAGGATTCTGGGTTGCTTAAATTAAGTTACTATATTGGGGAAACCCTATTATTTACTATATATACCCATTATGGTAACTTAATTTAAGTAACAGCAACCCAGGATTGTCCTGAGTGCTTCAACTTTCAGCTGGTGGGCAGCAGTGCTCGGCGGCTACAGGGTACCGTGGCGAGATGATTTTGGCGAGATGATTTGAGGGTAGATATGGGTTTGCGTGCAGATCTATGGGTTCTGCGGCTCCATCTTGGGGTCAAGATGGGCCAGCTGTGATGGCAAATAGCTTCATGTTTGGCCAGCTGATGAAGGGCGGTGTCGTGGGGCCCAGGAAGCAATACTGAATCAGCAGCTACCCGCTAAACAGCAACTCAGAAGCAACAACTATTTTGTCAATCCACCAACTCGGCAAGTAACCTCCTATAATCAGCAATGATGGTCTGCCGAGTCAGGAACCAAAAGCCGAGCTAGGAAGTTTGGGGGAAAATGAAGCCCTAGATTTTAGAGCGATTGTGGATGTAGCGACTTTGAAGGCCTTAGGTCGCAGATTGAGACGTAGCTCCCCATTCCAACCGCAAAGTTGCCCATTCCTTCTTGGCAGCGTTGGCTCCCATGCATTGGTTCAAATGGCCCATACTCCTTCAGTATCTGATTGTGTGTCCGAATCAGACATTAGCCATGCATCAGAAGTATGGTCTCTTCTTTGATGTCCTCTTGACCGGAGAATGTGTAGCGTTGGGTGTGGCAAGCGTGGGCCATAGCTGTTAGGGGTGAGCCTTTTCCAGGGTTCAGCGCCATACAGCCTCTTGGACAAAAAGGGCGCAGACTAAGCCCTAAGCCCTTCTTTTCGTTCACCAGGGCCGTAGCACAGTATTTTTGAGGTGTCTATGGGAACACGCTTTGTTGTTGAGGATTGTTGATATCCACTACGGGTCGTTGTGCTGTTGACTTGACCTTGTGCCTTCTCTGGGCCTCTGGCTCAAGGCTTCGGGTTATGAGCTGGGGATCTCCTGTTTCAGATAGCTATTGTCTCTTCTTCGCCTCTTGCAGAAAACCTTGGATCCTCCAAGGGGCTTCCCTCAAACTTGGCTAAGAACAGCCACCCCAGAACTGCGTTTCACATGGTTTTTACAGAGCAATAAGTTGTTGATTCGAGGCCTGCGTTCACAGTACCCTCCCTGTCGAAACGATTTGAGAGATTCAATTAGATGTGCTTTCTGCAAAAGTACGGCGACTCTTTTGAAGCCAAACAGACTCTGTTTGATGCTCAGAAGCGCCATGGCTGGCAGCACTTTAACACTACAAACAAAAAGGGAGCCTCTATTCCCAGTTTCCATTTCATTTTCCATTTTCTTTTCCATTTGATTTTCCATTATAGGGGGATAATAACCCTACTAACCCCATTATAACCCTTACAACAACCGCCTCAACACGAATTGGGGGGTCCGGGGATCCTAGGCTCCCGTTTTTATGAAAATCAATAAGGGAAGAGGGGTCCTTTAGTTTCTATCAAATTCATACGGACATGCTCAGTTTCGCTTTCAAGAGAATAGGAAGGGCAGGGTGCTCAGCCTTCATACTCAAAGGTCTGCCCTTGAAAACAATCACAGAAAATCTTTCTAAAATCAATTGCAGATCAAACTAAAAACAATAAATTGAAAACACATTAGAATGGCTTCACCACTACCCCGGCCAGAAAGCCTTTACATTATTAAGCCCCCCGACATCACATATATGTTTGAGGATCAGGGGCTCTTCTGGACTACTCCTTTTGGAATTTGATTGCCTAGCCTGTTCGAATAAGCGGCTTAATAAGAAACCGATTGTTTTGGTGGCCTCAAGTTCCAGATTCGAGCGGTAATTGATCCTGGCCTTTTGCCTAAGGCCCCGGCCTTTTCACTCGAATAGTTTTTTGGTCTCGCAACTAACCCTGCCGAAAAACCTTTACATTATTGAGCACCCCCAAATCATTTACATTATTGAGGATCAGGGGCTCTGCTGCACTACTCCCTTTGGAATTTCATTGCCTAGCCTGTTTGGATATGCGGTCTTATAAGAAATTGATTGCTGTGAGTGGCATCAATTCCAGATCGAGAGGTAGTAGAGCCCGTCCTTTTCATGTAAAGGCCTTGGCCTCACCAAAACCTTCTCCTAGAATTTTTCCGACAGACAAAACTTTACTTTATTGGAACCTCCCAAATTAAATAGGGGGTCCAGAATAGTTTTCACAAGACTTTCCTTTATTGGGAACCCCCGCACTTATCGGGATGCAACATTAGTGTTTCCCAAAGTAAACCTTTCAACTCCCTTCATCTTTTTATGGTTAGTGTCCCTAAGCAGGCATATACGGGGTACCCCCCATTGTGAGACGCCCTCAGGTGGTGGTGGCACCAGAGACGATGGCCCAGCCGTGTGAGGCTGGCAAGCGCGTGCAGCTGCCTGGCCAAAGACCCCAAAAGAGGTTATATAGGGACAATGGAAAAGAAAATGGAAACTACAGGGATTATAGGGGTTACATAGGGGTTTCCCCAAAAAAGTGGGGCGGGCTCGAGGTCAAGGGTCCTTTCTGTGGAATCCTAGTAAGTGTGCCAGGGTCTGTAGCTTAGCAGGATCTCGACTTTGAAAAATGTCAGCCTGCTCAGAGGATTCTCACAAAGGATTTTTGACTTCATGTGAGCAATGCCCCCTTGGTTAGTTAAGGCATGCAGCATCTGTGAGTTGGCCGATGTGGTGGAATTTGGGGCATGAAATCTACGACAACTGACCAGTGTCGAGGATACGGGGTTTAAAGTGTGAAATGGAGTAGGTGGTAGGTGAGCCGGGGAGCCAGACATGCCAACTTGCATCGGCTCTCGGATTCTGCTCCTCAACCAAACATGCTGCACAACCCCAGAACCTGATTTTTCTAGAATGCTTTGGGCCTGTCAAGATTTCCTAGGTAGGGAGCTTCACGTCTGACACTTTTCCGAGGAACTATACCTTGGCGTACATTCCTGGCTGGTCACAAGTCGCAGTCCCATGCGAAGCGCAAAAAGCCAGCTTTTGGTGAAGACACCGCCTCCTAGCTTGACAGAAGTTGGCGTCCTCCGAGGGTGACAAGTGCGTGGCATGGCAAGTTAGATGTCTCAGCGTCACTTTGCAGGTGGCCCTTCGCTAAATTAGCAGGGTTCTGGAAGAACTGCAGCAGTTTGCTACTAATTTGCTTCGAAGTCCATGCGTTGTTTGTGTGATCCTAGATGCATGGTGCATCCTTTGTGCGTGACCGCTGCGCAGCAGACTGGCCCTTGCTCATGAGCCAGCGTCTGGAGTAGTCGCAGATGCCATGAAGACGCGGTTGTCAAGTGCGCTGTAGTTTGGTGTGCAATTGAAACGGCAGTGATATGTTCGATCCAACCCCTTCGTTCGTCATGCGGCTCCAGCCCGCTAGCTGCAATCAGCCACTGCGGAGGCCTTGGGAAGCAGGAAGAATTCACGCTGTCAGACATGTAGCCAAATGCGCGAATACAGCAGGGAGGAGAAGCCAAAGAAGCAGACTTCTACGGATCTCTGGAGCCTTGGGCTGTGCATCAGGATTCTTAGGTTCTGCGTGCTTGAAGCAACGGAAGAGGTGGGCCATGACAGCTTCGGTCATGGAGGTGGCTGTGAGCTCGAAGCATCTGCCCGGCACAGAGCTAGTGTCCACGGCGCCACCTTTGCTGGAAGGGGAGGATGCCGTGGCAAGGGTCCGGCGCTTGATCTCATCCGACGCGAACAATCAAGGCCTCGACCTGACAGGCCGGGAGCATCCATTTTCGGATGATGAGTTGCAGGAGGCCTGGCATCAGCTCCAGTTGGGCGATTCAGACACGGCACGGTCCCTGTTCGTAGAGGCAGTCTTGGCAGATCCTGAGGATGAAGAGGCTTTATTTTGTATGGGTCTGCTGTACGAGGCCTTGCATGACCTGGATCGAACAGCAGAGTGGATGGACATGGCCATTGAGGCCTGCCCTGACCACATCTTCGCATGGGAGACACGGTCGCGCTGCATGGAGCATCGCGGTCGCCTGGCTGAGTCGTTGGCTGGTTATGAGCAGCTTGAATATTTGGATCCTAGCGCCACAGGTCGCCGGGAAGGCCTGCTGGGGCACCAGCGTGTGTACATCGTCCCTGTAGGAGCTTGGGAGGATGGGGCTGCAGACTACATGCAAGAGGCAGCAGAGGAGGCTGCAGAGGAAGCTGTGCATCAACCGAGGTGGCAGGAGAATTTTCTTGCTCCAGAGCGCGAATCAGAGCTCGAGCAGCCTGAGCTGAGATCTGGAATCATGGCATGGGATCATGTGTTGAGCACAGATTTGCTGCAGAGGCTGAGAGAGTGTGTGGAAGACCACTTTCAGTTCATCTTCACAAATAGATGGGTGTATTCCGCAGACGAGTCATTTACGGGCGCAGCTTCGACAATGTGGCTACCTGCCTCTGAGGAAGCCACCAGTATCCCAGAAGTTGCTGCACGCACAATCCTCAGGCATCTTCTGAAGCAAGAGCCTGAAGATTATGCTGGGGTGGAGTACTGGGCTCGAGTTCGCTCCGTGAACCTGGGCGCTGGCTTTCATTACGATGAGGCAGTGGATGCAGAGGATGTCGACTCAGAATGGGTTCATGGCAACCCCTGGCGCCCTCAGTGGTCAAGCGTGTTGCTTGAGTTTTCTTAAGGTTCATGAGCAAGATATCGTGGCAGGCTTGCTTCCCTCGGTTGAATCTTCCCTTAGGAGCTTCAGCTTGCGTATGGATATGGAACGGTGTGCCGTTTTTCAGCAAACCGCCGGTCAGGATCCCTTTTCAAAGAGATGCTCAGGTTCTACCTATCCGATGAAGGAGGTCCCACGGTAATCCTGGACCAGCTCCATGATGAGCGAGGCAGGTTGTCCCCGGCGCTTCCGGCCAAAGGCGCCCCGGGGGTCTACGTGATCTTAAGGGCTCCTACTTAACTGATCCTATTGCTTTGGGGGCGTGGGGGGGAGGGGGGTGTGCAGTTTGGCCACACGTATATGTTCGTGTCAAGAGGTTGTGTCTCAAGGCGTAAAAGGTTTTGCGATCTTCAGCGTTCCGTGCGTGAGGCCGTGAGGATGGAGTAGCTGGGGATGGGCCAAGGGGCTTGCATGGGATGTGCTCAAGTTCGAGCAATCCCGTTCCTGCTGGGGGGGGCCCGCAGCACGGGTCCGCTAAAATGTAATCCCGAGAAGCAAGAAGCTCGAGTGCAACCTGCTGCACCACTTGGGGTTATGTTGGGGGTAATCAAATTGGGATAATGGATTTGCAATCTTGACTACACCCCGACCTCCCTGAGAGGCTATTTATGCATGCCACGGGCAAATCGCATCGTCCTCTTCCGTGCAGACCTCCACCATGGCAGCCTTCCAGTGGATATCTGGCTGCCAGGCTCTTTTTTCAATAGGTCCTCGAAAGATCCTTTATTCTCCTCATTGTCCTTCTTTGCTAAGTCCCGGATTTATCTTTTTGCTTTGCCCAGCCTCCATCCCTTCTCGATTAGTGCAGAGTGTGACCTGGGATCCAAGCTTCTTCGGGTCAAGATTCGTGCCTCTCGCATGTCATATGTGCACCACACAGTGATTGCCTGAAGCATTGTCCCGCCTTGCCTGCGGCACCAACATGATTACCAGGCTTCCGGGCAGCTTTTGTGCAGTCTACGCATCATTTGTGGTTTTGTCGTTTCCTCGTTATTGTGCCACTTGGGGTCGTCGCTGTATGAGCCATTAACTTCTCCATCTGGAAGAGCAGCCAACATGAGCACCCAAGAGTTGTAGAACGTAGATTCTAAAGAGCCCTGCTAAACAAACAGCTTACTAAGAAGGCCATGAGTCTAAGATCCGTCTAGTATTGTTACCAAAATTCTTATTGCTGGTCTCATGCTCTTGTCTTAGTACCAAGGCTGGACAGCGAGCAAACGCGAAGGGTCTTCATCTTCAATTTCTGGCGGCGCCACACCCCGGATCCTGGCCTCCTTAAAGCCTTCGTGGGGATCATGATCAGGGTCATTAGGCGTTCCTTGCGGAAGGGTTGCTATTGTGAGACTTTGCTACACAGGTTTCAGAAGGATTTCTGATGATGGGATTTTAGTGAGATTCACATCAGACATTATAACCGCAGCTGATGTGGTAGGCTGTCAAAATTCTGGCTCCTTTCTCGGGTCCCTGGTATAAGTCAATCCCTAGCACTATCCAAAGGGTCATTATTACTTGACAACCCTCCATGTCTGAGGAGCGCCCCCACTGCCAGCGCCTGGACTTCCAAAAGCACCCGGCCATGCGCCGGTGCCCTGGCCTATGGCCGGTTCGATAATCAGTGTGGTGTTGTTGTCGATGTGTGAGCGTTTAGGCCAAAAAAGAGAGGAACAAACACTTTTGCAAACCTGTGAAGATATATAGATATGAGCAACATGAAGATAAGAAAAGATAAAGGCATCAGTCTCTGCTCTGCCCCTCTCGCTCTTTCTCTCTGTTTCGCTCTGTCGATGTGAGAGAAAGAATATGTGCTGTCAAGCATGTATACGGGCCTCTTGCAAATGCCGAACCCAGGCACATCCTCACTGTGGAGGAAGGCGCCGCCCTCCAGACCTATGAAACAGCGCGCCTTGAAGCACAAGGCCTAGCACCGGTCGAGCGCAAGGTCCTCTGCAAACCGGAGCAGCTACCTCACAGCTCAGACTTTGGATATCTACCCCTGCCGCTGCCTATGCCGACCATGGCAGCGCTGAAGGAGGAGCGTGGCTTCTACGAAGTCGACTGGCTGGGTGCTGCGGGGGCTAGAGAGGAGTGAAAAAGACTCCATCGTGAGGATGCAGGTGACCTCCCTGCATATTGAGGAAGAGGTATGTATGGTGTCTAGTATCCCAGTAGATCGCACTTTGTAGTTACGTAGCGATCGTAGCGTCATGGCCGTTTGTCACAGCCGGCAAGACGTGTTTTGCTTGGGTGGCTCCACAGTTCAACTCTTTACCGGGAACCCACCCAAACTCCACGCGCTCACTGCACCTCTCGCCTGACGCAGGCAGGCCCCACTTTCTGCATAAGCTTTGGCTTCCAGCGGTTGCTTCGGTTCTCATTCTTCATGACGTCCCCTCTGGCAGAAGAAGCCTCCTGACCCCACACAACCTCTCTTAAGGGCAAGCCCGGCAGCGCAAAGCGATCCATAGCCATAGCCTCAAGCTCCGCACATTACATGGTCGCTTGCTTCGCAGCTATTTTTTTCCCAGGCCTGCTGCGCTCTCCAATTTGGAGGCTTGGCTGTCAGGGCTTACTCAGGCTGTGGGATCTTACTCATTGGCTGGCATAAGTTCCGCACGCTAACTATACCTGTGGCCGCTTTGCCGCAGTTATCATACAAACAGACATATGGTGCATGGTACCTGCTGGGAAGAGTAGTACTTGAGGACAGCCACATCCCATGCGTGCAAGCGCTGATGCTCATGAGGTCAGTCGGTTTTCAGGTTTTGTCTACGCATTCAGAACCGCCTACCCAGTGTTGAACATGAAGCCCGGCGCCCTGCGGTGATGTTCTTTGGCTCATTCGCCAAGTTGCCCATGGGCCTTTGCGCTGCAAGCAGTGCAAAACTGCTACCTGGAAGCAGGATCGAAACTCTACATAGTTTGTGGGTCGTACAACAGGTCCATCAAACGGCATAGGATGAGATTTTGTTGCGCGGCTCCTTTGTGAATCTTACTGGCACTCCATTTGGAGATATCATTCCCCAAGTTGCAAAAAAAACCTGTGGTTCTCCTCTCTTCTGAATCCTGTTTTGAGGTGTCACCGGGAATGACCCCGAGTTTAGCAATTGAGCTCGTCATGGAGGTTTCCTTCATGCAAAAAGTCTACACAAGAATCTGCAATTCCTAAAGGCCAAGTTGTATCCCTAAGCCTTTATTACCTCTACATGCACTTCCCACCACTTTGTTTACACCCTGAACGTCATGCGCGAAGCTAGGTTTCAGCCCAGATGGAGAGCGACCTAGCCAAGCTGTGGGGCGAGGTGCTCTCGGAGTCTAGGGTGCAGGGTTCATTGGGCAGGGATGTGTAGAGGTTTCAGGTTTACGACTTTGAGCACTAGCAAGACTTATCCTGATGTGATTCGTCGCATCAGAAGTGTTATGATGAACCGGAGCAATTCTAGTCGTTTTGAAGTCTGGAAGTCAGACAACAACTGTAACCAGAATTGTGTTTTACAACTGCTCGGGACTTTGCTGCGACTTTCTCACCGCGACTACCGGTTCTATCATTTCTGCCCGTGGACTAGTGTTAGCTATGCTTTTCCAACAACTTGGAAGTGCAACCTTTCCTAGCATAGAAACATAGACCAGTGGAATTCCTCCCAGCGGTCGTCTTGCATCATGCAAGGCGGAGCTGATCTCTGACTCCCGGTTGGCGGAAGCCGCGCTGGCCCGCGCCGCCGGGACGCTTGGCTGGGCGGCGTCGGGTTAAGGGTCAAGAATGTCAGCAAAGCTTAAAGAAAACAACGCTGTGGAAAATCGTGCGTCAGTTCTGGCATGAGAGAACGGATGCTTCGGGCTGGAGAAAGGGTTTCAAACAGGAGAAAGGAATGAGGGGTGTTAGGTCCAGCGATCCCCCAAGTCATAGTCAAACAGCCGACCCTTACTCTCATGCTATGCACAAACGAGACCCATATACCAGCGGATTTTCAAATCAGGGACAGCGCTAGGTTTGGGGACTTAGCAGTCTTTTCCGCTCGTAGCATCAGCGTTTTGGATCGTTTTAAAAGATGTCGGGGCCACAGCCGTACTTGCAGAGCGAGAAGCCTCACAAGCTGAAGGGATTACAATGTTTGACTCTTGTGTACTTTCGCCACCAATGCTGCAATTCGGGCAGCCCATCACATTTCCGCAGGCTTCTTGTGGAGTCATAGTCATAGATCGTTTTTAGCCAGCAGCTATGGACAGGATCGCTCCGCACTTCGCTTCGGAAGTAGCCAGCACCTGCGATGAGGGCCTCTCTAGCGCACCTTCAGCGCCTTCAGCGCCCTCTGTGCCAGCTGTGCCATCAGCAGCACCTTGAGCAGTGTTGGGCAGCACCTTTTTGGGGATCTTCTCCAGGCTCCTAAAAAACCCACACTTCTTGAGGATCATGGTTTGAAACCGCTTACTGAAGCAAGATGCTATGCCCAACAGCCAACTGGCTTCCATGTGTGGCTCAGGCGAGGGGTGGCCGGCCGCCAGAGCGGCGCCGGCCAGAGCGGAGTGTGGGTGCAGAGCTGCGCGCAGAATGGCAGGTGGAAGATTTCCAAACTTGCGGTACCCGTAGGCATCCTAGGAGTACGAGGATTGCAGTCGCCAAATTGTGGTCCCAGATAAGGATGATGTCAGGCTTGTTTTGAGAAACTTCCAAGTCCGCTCCCAAGTCTGACATGCTCGGGATTATCACGCCAACAGTTCTCACGCCAACAATCTGGGCGAATCAGCCGCCCTTCTCGGCCATTGCAGACAAGGTGCTAGAAATGCATCTACCTATGTGTTTTGTGAAGTTCGTTTAGCAGTTCAGGTTATGTTCAAGCTCTTGTGTATCCATGAGAACGTCTTGCAGCCGTATAGTTGTTTGAACAACAGGATGCACTCAGTCATGGCCTTAAGCAGTATCAATCGTTTCCAATTCTTTTGGTATTGTGCACGATTTTTTTGCATGTACCTGTCAACATTGGGAGACGGGCAAGCTAGATGTAGCCTACATCAACATCATCACAAAACAGCCGCTTCGAGAGGTGCTGGATGCTCCAACAAGTGCCGCCCAAAAGACGGTGGCCACCGTGAGCATGATCGACTGCTTGTGGGAGAAGGCCTGGGCCAGCAAGACTGTAATAGGACCCCTAATATACTATAGTAGTTTCCATTTTCTTTTCCATTATCCCTATATATAACCCCAATATCCCCAATATACTATCTAGGGTTGAAGGTTTGGGGATTCAAATCCCCCAGCCTGACAGGATTCAGTTCTGGGTTCAAAAAAGGGATCCAGGTTTACAATTGATGGCTCGGGGCTTGCGAAGTATCAGGATGTGCAGACTGGAAGAGCATTTGCACGTTGTCCTGTTGAGGGATATCGCAACGCATGGCCGTCAGCTTTTGCTCTCTCTGGCTCCTTCGAGGTCACAAAAGTCAGTGACGACGTGGACTCCCTACAGGAGCAGGCGATGGGAGCAATGGGGCGCCAGTTTCCAGAGTTCAGGATGCACATGCGGATGCACAGGGGCGTAGACTATGGCATAGAGTTGTTTTGGCGATGCCGACTGGGGTTGATGTGATGAGTTTGGACCTTCACTCGTGCATGGGACTTCAGACGTCACTCCGCTCTCTGAGAGAAGTTGGACTCTGACGAGAATTCTCAATTCCCGGGCGCAGAAGTTGCAGTCTGCGCAAAAACTTGATTCGGCATAAAACAATTCATGATCAAAGACATTTTTGGAAAACACCACTTAAACATACCTTCTGTAGGATTTCAGTGTAACTGCAGAGGCCCGTGACAAGCATGTCCGCAACTCAAGACCCTTACATATTCAGAAAAGCCAGTTAGATAAGTCGTGGCCTGCGCAGGTGCAGGGCCACAGCACCGAGATCAACGCCTGGATCCCGAACCATGAGGTCTGAGAAAGCTGGGGTTCTTTGCTGACGCTGTGGTGTGTAGGTGACATATATACCCACCCCCACAGGCACATAAGATAATCAAATACATACATAGGTTTATATGCATTTATGTGTATCTGTATATATGGAGCCACAAGATTAAAAAGCGACTGAAAAGTGGAAGTTTGCGGAATTTTTGTTCCAAACGTTGGGAGCATGAACATAGGTGCTCTTGCGCCACTAGGGACTCCCGCCCGCCCCAAAATGGGACCCCGGCTTTTTGGAGCCAGGTGGCCCGACGCTCTGAACTGGAAGAACTGTCGAAGGCCTCTGCCGCGCTCAGGGCAGACTGCGTCACCAGGCCAGGAAAGTATCACAAAAGGGCTATCGTGTCCGAATGCACCAAAACAAAGACACAGCTTTTTTTTTGTGGGGCCCCAAGGAGCGTAATCTTTTACAAGCCAGGGCGGCTGTCAAGCCTGCACAGATCCCCAATAATAATACCCACACCCCCCTTATTTGCCCGCAGCATCTTCATCTTACGTGCGCATCCAAGATCATAGCATCCGTATAGATATTTCCACAACTGCAAGATTACTGTTATTCACAGCGAAACAAGATCCTAGCGAATGCATGCCGCCACTCATTACAACGTTCATTTCGACCACATCCACA